GATGGCATTGCAAAGGAAGGGTGAGGGCATGTTAGTAACTTGACTAAAGTTAGTAACCTACCTAATGTTGACAAGTGGCAAGGCTAGGACCACATTCTTCTTTGTAAAACAAGGCCAACCCTTGTCTTCCTCTCCATTTCGGCACTTTTCTCTCTCTCTCTCTCTAACCTTTCTCTCTCTATATATATATATACACACACATAAATATCTTCCATGTTTCAAGCTCATTTTTTTGGGGGTTAGGGTGAGATTTGTGAGCGAGGCAAGAAGGAGAAGTTGAAGAGCATAACAAGGGCTTCCATTTGATACCACTATTGCAAGGGCATGGGGGAATTTCGAATTTAGGCTTAGCCTTTGGGCTTGTTCGGCTAGCACACTTGAGGTAGGTATTTCTAATGCCTCAAACTTTGCCTTTTATTGAGTATTCATGCTATGATTTTTTATTAACTTCATTCTTGAATGCTAAATATGAATTGACATGACAGTAATATGTTAAAGTGGTGAAAGCATGTTAGTACGTGGACAAAAATGTGTTTAATTTCATGTTAAGTATGCGTATACCATGGCCTTGGTGCAACGTTTCTTAAATAGTGAATGCTAGCATAATTTGTGATGATATGAATTCTATGAAGAGCATGCTTGTGATTGAATTAAACGAGAATGCCATATTATGCTCACTTTATGAGAATGTCATATTTGTACCTTACTTCTAGAAAATGCTATGTTTATGCCATTGTTGCATATGAATGAGATTGAAACCAAATTGATGAAATTGAATTACATGCATGGCATGGTGAGAAAGTTAAATGAGAAATGGTATGAAATGGATTTTTATAAAATAAATCAGATTTCGCGGTCTGATGCTAATTCCACCTAGAGAGAGCACGTGCTGGTTTAGGACGTAAAAAGTTGATTACTAGGCCCCCAAATGGTTGGCGAATTTGAAACCAAGGATAGTAATTCAATATCGCCTCGGTAAAGTCCGTTAGCAGTTTTTTTTTGTGAGTTAGGGTCGGTAGAGACCAAGTTTGGGGAACGATGTGCATTGCATTGCATTCTATACAATATTTTGATGGATTGCTTAAATGTTATTGTTAATATTGACTTATGATTTAAATGTTATAAAATCCCCTAAGTATCCCGGTTCCTCTCAATCCCCAATGTGTGATATGTGGTTCAAGGGAGTCCAAAGTTGGCGCCTTATGGTGCGACCGAGCGTGTGCACAAAATAATGCACAACCCTTTAGGTTTAGAAATAATGTCAAGTGGGCACCATATTTTAAAATTTATAAAACCACTAAACACTTATACTATGGAGTATGAAGTGAGCAGGGATCGTCCCAAGAGATCTAAACAATTATAGGTTTTCCAGAATTGAATTCTACTTTAGTGCTTATGTGATTGCCAAAAGGGTTTTGTTTGTGATTGAAACTAATTTTAACCTAAATGATTGCAATAAAGAAATAGAGTTTAAGAGATTGGAAAGAGACTTAGGGTGTAGGATTCACCACTAAGCACATTCCCTAACTCACTCACTTTCAACTAATTGGGGAAATAATACTATGTAATCTATATGTGGCTAACAAGTGCAATGAAAAGTGTAAACCATCAATTTCAAGCATGAATCAACTACCTAATGACAATTAAACTAAGTGTAGTGTAATTCACCCATTCAAAGCATAATTTATCAATCCAAGTTTCAAATTTAACACACATTAATCTAGAAGATAATGCAATTGTGACAAAAAGTATGGAATTCAAACATAAGTATGGATGGTCTACTTACCTAATAATTGAATTGCAATTAAATTAATTAAACTTAAATTAAACTAATTAAACATGAATTCAAAACTAATTAGACAACAAATTAACCTAAACATGTAGTACCATCCATCAAATGGAAGCATTTTTCATCAATTTGAAACACAATTACAACTAAGCAATACCATGCATAGCCATCACAAGAATCAATTAACAAAGAATTCATGTGTAAAATTTGTTTATCAATCAACCACACATAAGACAATATGAGATTAATACAGATAATCAATTGGAAGAGTTTAATTCATAATATTCAAGACTATACACTAATTACATAAATTAATCCCCAAAAAGTATGAAAAGAGAGAGAGAATAGGTTACATGCTTAGGGTTTATCCAACCCTAAGTAGAAGAATCAGCCACTCATGGTTGATGGAGTCGAAGACAGGACAATCCCCATCATCTGCTTCATCTTCTCTGAACTTTTCTTCCAAACCCTAGCCTGTTCTTGCTTTTTCTCTTTTTTCGCGTGTTTTTCCAGAGAGAAAATACGATACTACGATACAGAAAAATAAAAAAAAATAAAAACTTCTTAATTTCTCCAATAATCTTTACCTAAATAAAAACTAAAACTAACCCTAATCTAATGGCTCACTGGGCCTTAAGTAACAATCTCATTAAAGCCCAACAGTTCCCAAAATGAGCCCAAAAATTAAATAAAAACTGTAATGTTGCTAAGTCCTGGGGGATCGATCCCCCACCCTGGGGATCGATCCCCCCAGAGTTGACAAATTCCTTTAAGCCTTATTCAGCTCCATTTTTGCCCCGGGCTATTTGGTTTGCTTCTCCATCTTTGGGAACATCATCAAAGGCCCGAAATTGACCGCTTTGTGCCATTGTCTGAAAATCTTTGCTTAACTCCAAAAAGGCTTAATTGGACCGTTCTTAGCTCATTTTAACTTTATTGCCCTGAAATACACATAAACATAAATTAGGACTAAAACATAAAATTAAGATATATGCGAAGACTGAAATACCTTAGCTTAGGTGCTGAAATGTGCAACATTTAAGCACTTATCACCTTAGGCATCTTTTACTGAGCCTCCGTGCTCACCCCTTCCCTTAATATTTTTTAGGTTATTACAAGGATTGGATTGACAACAGACCCTCACAAGTATAATTAGGGTTAACGGGAGCGTCTTTTGATATTTTTGTAATAAATGCATAGTTAATGCAAATTCTTGAAATGCATTGTAATTTCGTAGTTAAGGACCTTAACCATGTATTTATATTCTTTCGGACCATTTCGAAACCTTTAGAGCATTTTGGGCATGTAAATGACGATATTTGTAATTATATTCTTTTGGGCATATTATGTATATTTTGGAAATATAATTAAATTTAATTTTATTAAATCTCTACATGTGGATATATGTTATATATTTCACAGCATATGTGAATGGATAAGCCTAAAATTATATTAAAGCGGTTTCGTTTGAGTGTACAAAAGGAAGTGATCGATTTATTTGGGGGTATTTTAACGTATACATAGAATGGTATGTTAGTGCATTTTCGTTGTGTAATTGTATCGGTCGACATGAATTTCTCACCCGTTGACCAAATGTCCTAAACCAATCGACATGTAGTATTCTCACCGGTTCGTGCTTTTTAGTGTTGCTTTTGATTTTCCTCATTTACCCTTTATTACACATTTAGGGCATGTTTACTAACGCTTTCACTTTCTTATTTTTACTTTCTTCAAAAGTAAAATCATAATTTTTATTTTCAAAGTTGAAATACCAAGTAAAATCATATTCAATTATAATTTATGTTTTTAATATTTTGAAAGTAAAAAATTAGAAATCAAGTTTAGTAATTATGATTTTGATTTTGCAAAAATTGCTCACCAAAACCCATCTCATTCTCTGCAAATATCCTTCTCTGCAATTCTCTCCGAATGTCCCTGTGTTGTGGTTTGGAATGACATCAAAATCCGTCTTGAGTAGTTACCCTCCAGTAGCAGTCGCTCCCAAAAGCCTACTTGATAAAACTTCCCAAAGCTTCCCTTCGCTCCATTGATTTGAAGCTTCGGACTGAAACTCAAATATAACAGGTGTGCAGGTGAAAGGACTTGACACACACTCATTTCAAATGGTCACTCTATCTCTCTATTTTCGGAAATCCGTAGCACTCTGCCCATTTCAAAGAACATACTAACAACAAGAAAAGAAAACCAACAAACCCATCAAACATCTCTCTCTCTCTCTCTCTCTCTATACATCTGTATATAGGTGTCAAATCTCTCTCTATATATTGTGTGCGAATTTGGGTATCCCTCTCTGATGCCCAAAGGTTCTCCCTTTCTAATAAAAAAATGTTTAATCTGAGTTTGATTATAGTGATTACAGAGAGAGATACGAAAGTGAGTGAGTTTTAGAGAGAGAGAGAAGGCCCAACAAAAATCCCAGAAAACCTAAACCCAAACAAAGCCCCAACAAACTATTGCAAATGCAATGGACTGCGATTCAAAGACTTCAAGGTACAGTGGTTGAGAGAAAGAGAAAGACTCCAAGTTACAGTGGTTTAGAGAAAGAGAGAGACTCCGATTCCGGTGGTCTGAAATTCGTCAGCATCATCTTGTCTTCGTCCAGAGAGAGAGAGAAAGAGCAGTACTGATAAAAAGTCCGGTGGGTGATGTCTTCCATTGTCACCGGTGGGTGGGATGAGATGATGATAGAGAGGGAGTGGATGATGGGTGCCATGTGAGAATAGATGATACGAAGATTATGAGTGAATGCTACAGTAATACAAATAGAAAGTATTTTTTGTGTAAAGTGTAGGAAGTAGAGAAAGTAACAAATTCTCACTTTCTCCTTCCTTCATTAAAGGTGAAAATACTTTCTATAGTAAGAAAGTAAAATTATATTAATAAACATGATTTTACTTCTTACTTTATATTTTAGGAATTGGTAGTAAAAAATAGGAATTATTCTTATTAGTGAACGGGCCTTTAATGTTGCTAGTATTTATTATATAGCCTAATAAAATACATTAATTATATTTTAACCACGGAAATGACCATATTACTCTCGAACTTCCTCCTAATCATTGGATGACCTTAGTAAATGACCGTTTTACCCTTTTGAAGTCTAAAACCACCATAATTATGTTAAATGACCATTTTGCCCCTGTTGGGCCTTAAAGTATTAATGTAATAAGAAATGACTATAGTACCCTTGCATGACCTCGGATTCAGATAAGGGCCCGGTTAGCGATTCGGATACAGCGAATTTGGGTGATGTATGTGGCAATGTGTATCTAGTTTTCTTTATTATAAGCATGCTAGATGATTATAAATCATGGAAGGATATTGTGTGATGGGTTTTAATTGACTATAGCACGTTGAATGAGTTTAGATGAAAGTTGTAACTTGCTTTGAAATTGGAGCATTATACCTACCATTATGATATATATACCATTAAATATTATTTACATTGTCTTTCTTAGAAATTTACCAACTTTTTTTTTTTCAATTATATTGTGCATTCATTTTTTGAATTTTTATTAATTTTTATTTTATACAAATTTGTTAAATAAAGTCGTCTTTCTACATGGGAAATAATGCCTACACGTTCTCCAACATGTAATGTGATTGTGGAAAAAATGTGTTCGTCCGAACACATTATGAATTTTTTTTTTTTATTTTTTTTTTTTTTGGTGTAAACTTGATTTATTACCAAAATCGCCAACTTCGCAATCAAGTAGAAAAGGGAAAGATATGACATAAATTTCTACATAAAACCTCAAAATGACTCTAATTCAATTGCTTTGTTTTTCTTTTCTTTTTTCTTTTCTTTTCTTTAGGACTCCAAAAAATATCAAATGCAAAACAAAATTAAAATTAAAATAATTATTAAAAAAAAAAAAAATTAATATTGAGTCCTTAAAAAAAAAAAACAATCCTATGTAAAAATAAAAATAATAATTAAATTGCACAGCTTTCATAAAGCAAATTTTCAAATGGAACGAACTTGCGTTTTTTTTTTTTTTTTTTGTTTTTTTTTTTTTTTTTTTTTTTATTCATTTGATATATTCTAAAAACATAACTAAGAAGATCCTTGGGAAGACAATTGTTCACTGCACACTGATTTGAAATACATTTCATACCACACTGGCTGAGAGTGCTTGAATTCTCAGTACCTAAAAGTTCGCGAGCAGAACTTTCAATTGTCTGCATTAAATCCATTATCTGGTAAGTTAGATAAAACACTATTATCAACTAGGAATTAGACAATAACTACTTTAGAAAGCGATAGGCATACCAATTGCAGAATTTGACGAGATCTGGAGCTCATTTCGTTCAGTAAGGTCTGCCCTATTTGCCTTTGAGCTGCAAAAATGGAATTACCACTACCAGTCGCATAATGTCTTCTCTTGCTTTTGGCATAGCGGCCCCCCAATGGAAGGCTAGCATGACGGGCTATTAGCTCAGTGGTAAAGCACGCTCCTGATAATTGCGTCGTTGTGCATGGGCTGTGAGCGCTCTCAGCCACATGGATAGTTCAATGTGCTCATCAACACCTGACCCTGAGATGTGGATCATCAAAACACATTAGCGTTGTGCATGGGCTGTGAGAGCTCTCAGGCACATGGATAGTTCAATGTGCTCATCAACACCTGACCCTGAGATGTGGATCATCAAAACACATTAGCATGGCGTACTCCTCCTGTTCGAACCAGGGTTTGAAACCAAACTTCTCCATCTAGTGAAACATGAATAGTATTTGTGTCCTTTCCTTCTCAGATAGAGAGGAGTACCTTTAGACGGCTCCAATCTTCCAAAGTCTCCTCTGTAAGTTTTCAACCACCGTCCCTCTCTGCATTAGACAAAAGATACAAGGATTGAAGACGTTTTTGGTCATTCCCAGTGAATAAATCAACTATCATAAAGTAAAATATCCACCTCTGGATCATTGAGGTGTCTTAGTGGAGTACTATCTGTACAGAGGAGGTTTCTGACAGAATCATTGTAGATCTCCAACACACAGAATTTGTATCATTATGCTAAACAAAAGGATAGTTTTCATAGTACTTTTCTTATGTAGTCATATATTTCTGCTACTGTATATTCTGTAATCCCACTCATGGTGTATGTCTTTCCACTGCTTGTCTGACCATATGCGAAAACAGTTGCCGGAGACATATTTTACTGGTAAAAAAATTGCACAAGGTGCGGTAATAACTAGAATTGCGCAACAAGGTTTCTAAGCAACTAACATCATGCATTGGCAAATCAGTCCTGCCACGAGATTTTAAGGGTGAGTAGTTCTCCTCAAGCTTCTATTTCGTTTATTAAATGAGGTTCAGGTATTCTTCAAAACCTGTTGTAAAATTTGTATGTAAATTTTCAAAATATTAATTCTTGGTGACACGTCTCGGCCTCAATAACTCCTCAGTCTTTCTGCCTTACCCTTCTCAGCTCACCAATAATTTCCACAAGAACATTCACCATCCCTAAAATGATGAAACCTCTTTCCATCTCTCACAACAATCTCTCTTGACAACACTTTCGACATGAACCTGAATGTGTTGTGGCAATCCCCACAGATCCTAAGGTTCTTGAAGACCCTAATTGTGGCTCCAGGGGGAAGTTTCATGAGGCCAAATGCAACTGCAAGCTTCTCACTATGAGCAGACAAAACATTTTCCTTTTGTTCAGACTCCATATCATGCAACACAAACTTTGTGTCGGGAACATACCCTAATTTCCTCATCCTCAGTCCCAGTTGCTCAAGATAATTGTACACAGCTTGCACCTCAGGGTGCGCAGTGTCATCGACCAAGAATACATGAACCTTGTTTTCAACTTCAATCCAACTACACCCTGGCTCTTTTTTAACCCCTCGTTCCCTCATTATTTTTCGCACCTTGGCCACATCATCCCACCTACCCACGTTGGCATACATGTTTGACAGGAGTATATATGTTCCGTCATGTTGAGGCATCAACTCAAAGAGCCGTTCCGCAGCTTGGATCCCTAAATCCATATTTCCATGAATCCGGCAACCAGCAAGAAGAGCCTCCCAAATAGGTGTGCGGGGCTCAAAAGGCATTGTTTGCAACACATCTTTAGCTTTTGCAAACTTTCCAGCTCGGCACAACAAATCAATAAAACGGGCATAATGATCTTCGTCTGGTCTTATACCATAAGTGTCATACATTGAATCGAAATAACGGCATCCTTCTTTGACTAGACCTGCATGGCTACAAGCAGAAAGAATTGTAAGGAAAGTTATCCGATCAGGTAATATGTCTTCCTTCAACATCTGTTCAAAAAGTTCTATTGCTTGAGCACCATGTCCATGCTGGCCCAAAGCTGCAATCATAGCGTTCCAAGATACTGAATCCACATAAGGCATTGTGACGAACACACAGTCTGCAGCTTCAACAACGCCGCATCTTGCATACATTGTTATTAGTGCATTTCCAGCTGAAAGGCTTGAATCAAAACCTAGCCGGACAAGCTGAGCATGGAGCTGACGTCCATGCTCCAATGCTGCAAGCACAGAACATGAAGTAATGGCTCCTGCGAATGCATAATCACAAGGTTTGACACCCTCTAATTTCATCTGGTTGAATAGCTTCAGGCCTTCTTCGCCAAACCCATTCTGAGCAAATCCTGATATCATAACAGTCCATGTCAAAAGGTTCCTCTCTGGCATCTCACTGAAAAAAGCTTTAGCATCATCAATTCGTCTTGCATTCACATATGCTGATAAAATTGCATTCCATGAAACGAGGTCTCTGATGGGTGTATTATTAAAAATCTTCCGTGCTACATCAACTTTACCACATTTCCAATACAATGTAATCAATGCATTATTCACAGACAAAGAAAAATCAAGTGAAGGTTTTCCTTCCGTTCGTAGAATGTAAGCATGAACCTGCTTTCCATGCAGGAACAATCCAGCATTAGCACAAGCACTGAGAACACTGGTGTATGTAAATTCATCCAGCTGCATTCCTGATAAATGCATCTTTCTAAACATATCCAGTGCTTCAGGCACAGACCCATTATGCACATAACCGGAAATCATTGCATTCCATGCAACCACCAACTTTTCATTCATCCCATCAAAAACTTGACGAGCAGAATCAAGGTCATCATTCCTTACATACCCCGTGATAATTGTTGTCCATGACAACTCATCCCTCACGGGCATCTCATTGAACAACTTCCTAGCAGCACTCATCAACAACCGCGGAGATGCTAATGGAGAAGATGCACACTTAACATAGAGTGATATTAGTGCATTTATCACAGAAGTGACGAATTCTGTTCCTGACTTCACAACTGCACAATGCAGCTGCTGGCAATGCTTTTCACGATCAGCTATGAGTGCCAAAGCACCAAGTACACTCGTGAAAGTAAAATTATCAGGCAGAAAATTGTCCCGCCTCATGTCACGGAAGAGTCCAATAGCCGCATGACCATCACAATTATGTGAATAGCCTGTGATCATGGCATTGTAGCAAACAGTGTCACGAACACTTAACGGGGTTCCAGTAAATATCTCACGCGCCACATCGGGATTCCCAGCAGCAGAGTAGGCCGCTATTAGCGTCGTTCTCGCGACAATGTCTGGTTCGGGAATTCTGTCGAACAGTTGGCGTGCGTACACAAGATGGGACGATTTGCAGTAGACATCGATCAAGCGATTGAGGATGTGTCCACGAGGTCTGAACCCAGAAGCAATCATGTGGGCATGGACCATACGGGCTAGGGAGTAGGAGATGGGGCTTGGAGGGCAACATAGTTGAAGCTGGGCTGCGTAACGGTTGGCCAGTGTGCGGAGGCCTGATTGGGGGACGTTTTGGGTGAGGGTTAAGAATATGGAGGCAGCATTCTTCATCTTCATCTGTAACGGAGAAGAAATAGATTTTGAAATCTTACAGTACCAGTTGTATTAAGCACTCCTCTGTGAAGTTGGTGATGTTGAACGGCGCAAACCTTTGTGAAGAGATGATCTTTGACACACTCTCTGGACCAGAGACTCATTCTTCTTGCTTGCGCTGCTTACTCCGTGGACTGTTCCAATAGGGGTGCTGTGACTGCAACCAAGCTCTGATTTTTCATTGACCGGTTGGCGCGGCAAACAAATTACTCCCTCCCTCTTCCATAATTAGTGTTTACATTTATATTTTTATGTGAAAAGTTGATGCATTATTACTTTTTATAATATAATTAAGGGAAACATCCCTTAACCTCCATGTATTATCATTTTCATTCAAAAAACCCCTACTACAATTAAACACCTTCAGAATTAACAAAACCCATTAAGTTTCCTCCAAATCGATATAAAATAACAAAACTGCCCTTATAAATTAATTGTAAATTTAAAACTTATAATATTATTATAAAATTACAAAAATATCCTGAGCCACCACCACCACCCTTCAATTGCCACTAGGGGTGCAACTTGGGTTGGGTAACCCGAACCCAATTCGAGCCCAGCCCGATTTTTTATGGGCTTGGACAATCATTTTTATAATTAGAGTTGGGCTTGGGTTGAAAAATCTCAACCCGAATTTAATTAAGGTTGGACTTGGGTTGAAGTGCTAGGAACCCGAGCCAACCCGAACCCGAATTTTAATAGTATTTTCATATATATATATTTATTTTTAAATACATTATATATAAAATTTAAATTATGATTACTTTTTTTCTTTTCAACTTTTTTTTGTTAAATCTTAACTTATTATATATTAGCATTTAGGAAAATTAATTTTCTAAAAATTTATTTGTAATTTATTAAAAATCTACAAAAAGTCTTTAAATTTCTTCTTATGTAAGAGTAATTTAATCTAAAACTAGTTCAAGATCATATTAAATTTTCAGTATATAGATTAGTCATATGAGTAACCAGAATTAACCTGAAATTTTAACCCGGAATCTAAGCCCGAATTTAAAAGTAGAAGGATGGGTTGGGCTCGGGTTGAGTAGTTAAGGTTAAGGATAGGGTTAAGGTTGGGCTTGGGTTTATCATTTCATATGATGGGTTGGGCTCAAGTTATACCTCAAACCCGCCCAACCTGCCCGAGTTGCAGCCCTAATTGCCACCATCTCTGTCCCTTTTTTCTCTCTCTACACTCTTTCACACGAACTAACACAATTCTATAAATCCAAAACCATAATCCTGGCTAGAAAAAAACCCTCTGATTCAGCCGCTACCGGCGGCCCATATCCAGCCATTTTCCCCTAGATTCCCCCTCTCCACCGTTTAAGCCCACCACCGCATCACTATCGTCGTCGACCTCAGCAACGAGAGTGCCTTCACCGTCAAGTAAGAGGTACAGAACTACCTCCGCCCCAGGGAAGGCGTGATCCTCCTTCACGTCCGCCTTACCTCCGTCCTCTACGGCACCGATTGGGGCGCCATCGTCCTCTCTGTCAACACCGACTCCGATGAGTTGCAACAGAAGCTCGAGGACGAATTTGACAACTTCACCGCCAGCAAGGTAAAAATCAAAGTATTATCGTGAAGCCTTCCTTCTGTAGCGGCATTGCCACAATCACCAACCTGGTCAAGTTAAAATTTCGATCTAAACCTATTTGTGTGACTCCGACAACATTTTCCCTCTGTTTGCCGCCAAAGGACACCCCAACTCGCCGATTCTGGTTGCAATTCCGGCAATTCTTATCGCCGGCGTTTCCAAAATGGGTTCGCCGATAGAGGACGATGTCATATTGGTCCAAAAAGGAAAGAAACAAGGTGAGCCCCACGTAATCACCATCAATTGTACCGACTATACCGATGAGATGGAAGATAAGTGGTGGTGAGATAGTAGGCAACACGAGCAATAATGCACTGAAACTAAAAGAAACCCAAAAAATCAAACCCAATAACCCGCATTGAAAACTAAATGACACCCAAAAATCAAACCCAATAACCTGCAATCGAATGTTCCTAAATCTCTCTTGGGCATCGATCATAGTTAAAGCACAATCATGTTTTGACTGATTTTGTTCAAGCACGACATAGAGTCTCTTTCACTATATATGCACATATAATATACATGTATATATAAGACGTGATCTAAAATTGATTTTTGAATATTAACAGGTGTATACAAATATAGGTTTCTGGTACTTGAAATCAAAGAAAGATGGAGATGAACAGTAGACCTACCAACTCAGGGGTATTTTTGTAATCTTATAATAATATTATAAGTTTTAAATTTACAATTAGCTTATACGGACAGTTTTGTCATTTGGGGGCAACTTGTTGGGTTTTGTTAGTTCAAGGGTTGTTTAATTTTAGTGGAAGCTTTTTGGACGAAAATGATAGTATAGAAGGGTTATGTGATTTTTCCCCTATAATTAATTTATAGTAGTAATATTTATTAATTATTAATACAACTAAAAATTATTAATTAAATTATCAAAGTGGAACACTAATTTTGGAATTTATAAAACCCATTTACTAGAGAATTCAAGAAATTACCAAATCTCATTTTCCTTTTGAATGTAAAATATCTCTAAGAAAATATTTTCATTTTCAAATAAAACGTGTTTTATTTTTTTATTTTTTTGTATTTGGTAAGGGTTTAGGTGGAGGTTAATATCGAGTCTATCGGGTTTAGCGTATAAAATAACTTATTGCAAGTTAATGTGTAAATTATTTTTGTTAAATTTTAATAAAATATTTTACTTAAATTTTTGACATCCAAAACCCCTTTACATATGTTGTGGTATTGAGACAAAAGCTAAAGGCGAAAGCTTAAAGAAGAAGGGGTTATTTATTTTATCTTTTGGTAAATTATTTTCATATATCTGCATCACATATGCTACCATATCATAGAACTTCTTTCTAGCATTTGTATGATAATATCTTATATAAGTAGGGAATAACATCATCATAACATTATTAAATATAATAATGTCATCTATACCTTCCCATACATAATTTTAGTCCCTAGGTGAAGGCTTAAAAAAGGATAGGTAATTTATTTTATCTTTTGGTGAATTATTTTCATACATCCATCACATATGCTACCATGTCATAAAACTTCTTTCTAACATTTGTATGATACTGGATGTAAGTAGGGGATGATATTATCATAACATCATTAAATATGATAATATCATCTATACCTTCTCTTATATAATTTTAGTCCGATGTGTTTAATTCTGAGACTATGTATTATTATTACTAAATTTTTGTTTACATTCCTTAATTTTAAGGCATTCTACATGGATATATTTCTCCTAATATTTTGATTTTTTTTTAAAAATATTTTATGTGACTTGTTCTGTGCAAAAGCCATGCCCTTTTAATGTGCAGGTGAGATATGTTATATGTTATGAATTTCTCGGAGAATGATGAAATTTGACCCTTTTTTTTTTTTTTTCTGACAATGAAGAGAGACTAAGCAGAAAAAGAAAAATCAGAGGACAAGGCTGAAGAGAGCCAAGATGGAAGAGAGGCCCAAGATAGAGAAGAAGAAGAATTCCTAGCAGCCCATTGGCTTAGGAGATGAGCCGGTTTGTTGGCAGATCTAGGGGCCCAGCAGAGAGTGAGGCCTGGTGAGGTGCTGATAAGGGGATCTAATATCCTCATAAATGACAGCAGCGAGTTCACTGGAAGGAGAGGCGTTGACAAGATTTGCACAATCAGTTTCGATGTCAACGTTGAAGAAACCCCAATTGGCAAGAAGATGAATGCCATGTCTGATCGATCTAGCTTCGGCAGCTTCAGGAGGGTGAGAATCTTCAAGAAAATAGGTTGCAACACGAAGAGGAATGCCTTGATGATTGCGGAGAATAAAGCCACTGCCCATGCCGTTAATATGATTCGGAATTGCTGCATCCACATTGAGTTTGAGACGACCAAAAGTCGGTGGAAGCCGGTGAGAACGATGAGGTGGAGAAGAGAAGTGAGGGGAGGTCAGACGACCGTCTTGAGTTTTAGCTTCCCAGAATTCATTGAAACTGAAAAGAGCACAATCAACAACAGATTTGGGATTGCCGCGCTTCCGATTGAAGTGCCAACTGTTCCTGTTCAGCCAAAGATGCGAGCAAAGAAATGTGAAGAAGCTCTTAAATAGAGAGAAGAAATAATATCAAATCTTGAATATGTGCAAAATATTCTAATTTATAATATCATTCGATGAAAAATATTAAAGTGATATTTTATTATTTAAATATCAATATTAAAAATAAAAATTATTCATCTTATTTTTTTGAGATGCAAAATTAATAATTAGATGTCTTGATTATTCATTTGTTAAATTTTCACCTAAATGTTTTTGTTGCGTTTTGATTATTAGTTATATAAATTTATCAAGAACTTTTTTTAGATTGAATTAATGTATCTATTTTTTTTTTTTTTTTTTTTCATATTGTCATTCATACTTTCTAATAAAAATTATTAAATAATATAAATAAAAATAATCACAAACAAAATTATACCATTTCTATAATAAGAAATAATAAGACTACAAAATAAATTAAGTTAAAGAACCATATAAAATTTAGTATTTGAAAAATCATCTAGCTTTCGTGCTAATCAAACTAGGTTTGTGTCAAAGTTTCACTAGCACTAAAAGTTTCGTATCAATGCTAATCAACTTTCAACATAAAATTCAGTTCAAAAAAATATAATTACACCCACATCATCAGAATCAAACTTACCAAAATTATTGTTCAAGATTGATTAGGACTACCTTTGTTTGGAAGTAAAATATTCTTTTAAAAAATATTTTTAATTTTTTTAGTGTTTGTTTGTCGTAAAATATTTATGAAGAAAAACAAAATATATTAAAATTCAGTTTATTTTACCTGGAAGAATATTTTCCGCTCATGGTTCTTCATATTAGAGCACTTACTGCAGCAGATTAATCACCTTAGTATTGCAAATAAACTTGTCTTTCCAACATGTAGGCTCCGTTTGTTTAGCAATAAAATATTTTTCAAAACATATTTTTTTATCAAGGATCTAAAACCCAAATACCTTTTGGGGGTCAAATACCTCCGATCCGATCTCTACTGTGGGTGCCAAAGAAGAATTTACGAAGAAAAAAAAATTAAAATTTAACAAAAATAATTTATCTATCAATTTTCGACAAGTTATTTTACATGCCCAGCTCAATGGACTCGACCTCAATCTCAACGTAGACCTTTTGTCAAATACCGACAAAGTAAAAATAAAAAAATATTTTACCTGAAAAAAATATATATATATTTTTACTTCAGCTTAAAATAAAAGAATGTCATGGAGTCAATTTCCATCAAGAAATAGTATTATTCTCAAAACAATATGTAAGTTACACTACCATACATTCATACATACATATATTTGTATGTATATATATAATACAATTATAAGAAAAGAAACAACAAATTTAGGGAAGAAAAAAGACAATGGTCTAAACAAGATGGCTAAAGAACTGTGCCAAACTTGTTAAAAACAAAATAGCTTGGCTGACCACAGTAATCGATCAACGATACACTTCCAATTATAAATGGAACATTTGCACCGGCCAACTGCATTTCCGTCCATCGGGACCAATCCCTGCAGTCTCCAAAGAAATGTCAATACTGCGACCTGAAGAACGGGCAATGCTTACGCGTAAAAGGATTTTCACAGCAGGGCAGGCATCAGTACCAATGGCTGCCGAGCTGTCTGCTGCACTGGGCTTTCCAGATGCCATTGTAATAGGTTCTTGGAAAGTAAGGATTGTTTGTGACCAGTGCGTTGCAGGAGTGTAAGGGGATGTGGACAACACTGTTGGCGTTTCTTTGCAAAATCTGCTGGTGAAACTAGTCTCAAACCACAACACGACTCCGTAACACGAAGTTTTGGGTTTTACATCCACGGATTCGTTCGTGAGATCGTCCAACTTTGTTTCTAACTCGACCCTTGCTGTGAAATCCACTTGCTCAGGTTTCATAACCGCCAGATCAAAGGTCTGCAAAAAAATTAATAAAAAAGTAAGTATAGCACAAGTAATCATCATGCTAGAAATGAAATTTTTGCGTAAAATAAGTTGGACTTTGATAAAGAAGTTAACTTGCAAGAAGCGGTGTCTGCTCATTACGTCAACAAAAAAAAACTGATTGGCCCTTACAAATTTCATCCGACACTTAGGTTTCATGTAGATATAAATTAGAAAAAGCATTCTCCAAACGACGACTGAATGAGGACCCACTGGGACTCTCCGTAATTTGAATGGTCCAATTCATTATTTACATAAATATTCTAATAGGAAAATCCCATCATCCTGAATGAACACATTAATTAAAAAAAAATTTGTCAGTTCATGATCATTTTAAGTTTCCTTAAAAAGAAATTAAAAAACGCTTAACATGATTTTTGAAATAGAGACAGTTCTCTCAAGTGGCTACATTCCAAATGATATATTACTAAATTCAGATGCTTTGCAAAAAGTGAATCGACCACTCAAACCCAATGAACATCCAAAAAAACCCTCAATTGCTACAAATACACCTCATGGTTAGGACCAGAATCCGAGGTTCTAATAGAGAGTCTCACAAGGCCTATGATCTAGAACTATAGGGGGCTGAATAGGTCCTGCAGAACAGCTTACTGAATTTGACTACTTTATGAATTTAAACTAAATTACCAAAATTTTAAATTCAATAAATAACAAAAAACAATATCATTTAATCCATAGTAGTAAAAATTTGTTGCAGCAGTAAAGCAATGGACACACAGATTTATACGTGAAAACCCCAAGGGGTAAAACCTTGGAACCTAGACTAGGAAGCCAAATCCACTACAAGAAAGAAAGTTTAACTTCGGTCAACAGTTCCCAAAACTCTAAATCCCTTTAGTTACCTCCTTGACACAAGATACCAAACTTTCCCTCGAAAGTCTCCACTGTGTCCTGCTCATCAACAAATTTCGCTTCTCGAGTTCAATCACTATGCAATGGATTGAAGGTTGTGTTGAACTCTATTATTGTGGTACGCAGCAGTAGGTGTCAACACATATAATCACTCACCATTTCCGCAAATGATGAATCCAAAAACGAAAACAGGATGCACTATAGAACTTTTGGGGTCTAGCCTGGGCCACTTAGCACAACTCCAGGCAAATATGCCCAACCATTTCTTAAGGAGCTGGACGTATTGTTCAGCTTCCTCTGAAGCTGGGCTGGCATTTAGGAAGATTAGGCGAGGGTCACCTTATATTCTGTGTGACCTCCCACCTACGAACGACTAAACTTTAATGCACGCTTTGAAAACAACTTAGGGAATCAAATAAGATCAAATCATGTAAAAAGCCAAACCCCTAATTATGCATGCATGAACTGTAATCTTGGTGAGTGCATCAATATGTTAAATTACCTTCTTACCCTTGTAGAAGAATATGACACATATATCCTCGAATATAGCTCAAAATCCCTCCTTCGACCTTGAGTCGTTAGTAGTAACTTCCATAACCAACTTTTGAAAATTTATAATCTAAACTAGAAATCAAAACAAAAGTTAGAGAATCTAATTTTGTTCAACAAAATTTGTCAAACTAAGTCCTATTGGCATTGACCTAACAACAACATGAGCAAATCATCAGTTAATTAAAGCATCATAATGTTGGTTTTGTATACCCTAGCATAACAAATTTAATGGATTGTATAAGACAATTTTTGTCCCATAAATCTGTGGTTAATGAGATGCTTTATATATAATTGGTTAATAATGTGTATTGGTCGATTCGGTATTTGAATCGAGGTGTCCACTTGACTACGCAAGTATTTATATGTATATGAGGGCGTTCATATGATATGTAAATTACAAAAATTACGTTATCATAAATAGTTCATGGTCGGTAATAAAGGATGAACTATTTATTAATTAAGAGATGAACTGGATCTACGATAAGGAATGCGAATTGGGAGAGCCGTCGTAACAATTTGCTCCTCATTACTGTCATGGAGAATAACTCTCAAGCATGAGAAAGGTATAGACTCTTGTATTGATTAGTAGTTGCTTTGATTTATTCGGCGGGGTCCGTAGGGCCTGAAGACCGGTACTTTGGGTAACTATTAATTAATAGCTTGGGAACATACTCTCAAGATTTGCATCGGTGCTGTTGTTATTAGCATGCTAATTAGCTTGAGGCACGCATAATTAGCATGTTCACTAGATAAATTTAGGATAATTTAAGAAGTGTGACTTATCTTGAAGAATGTTCAAACTTAGTTAAGATTACAAAATTGCATGGATAAAATTTCCTGCATAAATAAATTGCGAAATTTGAAAGAAATTCAATGGCATTTTCTAGAGTACTTGGTCTAATAAATGGTGTCTTGAGACTATATTGAAGTAACATCAGACAAGAAAGTTTGCGAACTTTGAAGAAGTAACCACAAAAAAATTTCAATTGCTTTCAATATAATTCAGAAGTTATATAAACTAGGGAAAAGGTAGAAGTTGGCCACAATATCACAAATTAAAATTGGGGCCCCAATGATCAATCGGTTTATTGGCTCATTGATATCACAGTATCCAGAGAAGTCAATGCAAGAGGCAATTAATGAAGCCAAAAATTCATGGGTACAAGGATAAGTGCCCTGATAAGCCTAGGCATGACCATGATCCCTCCAATCCTCAGCTTGCAGACTGGGAGCAGATTATTGGCTAACCATTGATTGCAAACATTGGGAGCATGGCTTCGAAGATTTGGGATCAAGGATTTTAGACACATATTTTCAGAAATTTTCCATCAGAATTTTGACGATGTTGCCATGCACTTGTTATATGGGATCAGTTGTTAACATAAAACTTCATTGCTTAATTCATAAAAAGAAAAAAAATATGTTTGTACTTGAATTCCTTTTGTATCTTCTTGTTCAGTTAATTCAATAGCATTTTTCATTGCTTTGCAGAATGAAACTCTATTTTTTAATTGTCCGACTATAAATTCCGTAAGAATACTAGGGCTTCCATAAGGTTTTGCAATTCTTGTGACAGCAATGTTGAATTTTCAGTTCACACAATTAAATTATTTTTGTAGATTTATCTGTAATTCTTCAATTCCTCGCAGTCGGCTTTCTATTAATAACTTTGGGAATCCCATATAGATTATGACCTGGATGAGATAGATTCGTTTTTGAATCTCTATACGCGCAATTCCCTCGACACCAGAGGATATTCGCATATTCTTTTGTACATAATTCTTAATACAATCCCGTATATTTTTATCTTCTTGGAGACACTCAGAATAAGTTTTTGGTTGTGCAAACCAAAGGGAATGATGACCTTGGGTTATACCAAGTTTGAAACCAATTGGATTTGTTTTTTGTCCCATACTCCCTCACAACTATATATATCTTTATATGTCAAATCTATCTACTTATTTTTCCATCTAGGTCTTTTTTTTTTAAAATCGTTGAGATGGTCTATCTCTACATATTAGGATTTTTTTTTTTTTTACTACAGTAGTTATATGACAAGTAGATGTTTTTATTGGATAACTACGTTCTCGAGCTCTAGGCTTTATTTTGTTAACGGTACTACCCTCGTTGACTTCAGCTTTACTAATGACTAAATTTCTTTCATTGGAATCCAGATTGCAACTGGCATTTGCTGCTGCATAAAAAAACAATTTAAAAATGGGGTAACATGATCGATAAGGCATGAGTTCTAGTATCAGAAGTGTTTCTTCATATGAACGTCCACGAATTTGATCAATTACTCTTTGCGCTTTATAAGCAGACATACATATATGTTGACCCAAAGTCTATACTTATGTTTTTCTCTTCTTTAGCGTAAGGCTTTCCTCCTACTAATGAATGATAAGCATTAAATTTATTTTATTAATGACGAGATCTATTATCGCTTTTTGCATGTCCTCGGAAATTTAAAATAGGAAAAAATTCTCCTAATTTGTGTCCAACCATACAATCTGTCATATAAACAGGCAAATGTTCCTTCCCATTATGATGAATACAATAGTATGTCTGATCACTGTAGGTATAATGGTGGCCCTAGACCAAGTTACTATTATTTCTTTTTCCACTTTTGTGTTAAGCTTATAAAAAAAAAATTATAATAAATGATAAGCTACAAAGGGTTTTTTTTTTTTTTAAGTGGACGTGTCACAGCTTACTCCCTTTTTCTTTTTTTTTTGGGGTAAAGACGAAGAAATAAACTCAAATTTCTCATTATGCTGTCAAAGCAGCTCGGGGTGATCTTAATACTGCTCAAACTTCTCTCAAGTTCAATCTCTTATTTACTACGGTGACGAAGAATCAAATTTTTGCTATATTTATCCCTTTTTTCTACTTCTTCTTCCAAGTGCAGGATAACCCCAAGGGGTTGTGGGTTTTTCTCTACCAATTTGGGCCCTCCCTTCACCACCCCCATGGAGATGGTCTACAGGGTTCATAACTACCCCTCTTACAACAAGATGCTTACCTAGCCAACGTTTAGATCCGGCTCTACCCAAACTTTTCTGCTTCAGCCCAACATTTCCTACTTGTCCGACTGTTGCTGAGCAGTTTTTGGATATCAAATGAACCTCCCGAGAAGGTAATTTTAATGTGGCCGATTTCCCCTCTTTTGCAATTAGTTTTCCTACAGCACCCACTGGTTCAGCTAATTGTCCACCCTTTCCAAGTGTGATTTCTATGTTATGTATAGCCGTGCCTAAGGGCATATCGGTTGAAGTAGATTCTTCTTTTTCATCAATCAAAACCCTTCCCAAATTGTACAAGATTCTTCCAAAGCATACAGCTTTCTGGATGTAGATGATGGTATCTATATAGATGGATCTTATATGCATCGTATAATTAATAAAGTACCACACTAGTGGATATATAAGAATCCAAATCTACCAAATCACTCATTTATTGATATTCTACATCCTAGGTCTTCCCATTATGTCATCTGGCTTATGTTCTTCATGTAGCATTCAGACCGAATGCCTCTATGAAATTAGGTCGATTCTTGCACATATTATGGGTAACGTAGGAGACATCTCTATTTTCCCTCGAGGAATCTTTAGAATTACTGCTACTTAGCTTTCAATTCGCCTCAGACCATCAAATGAAATGTGAATAGCCCGTCCTCTCTTTGAAACAAGGGACGCTTCTGGTTGTGTCGGTGCTTGAAACAATTTTGTCTTCCCCATATTACTATATCTCTAGAATCTATAATTTTATAAGAGAGACTACTAAACTCAATCACTTGTTGCCGTTACTCTTCGGTTTTTTGTTGAGGCCTATCCAAAAATAAAAAAGCTTAATTATATAGAGATGGTCATGACTTGAATATATATATATAAACATATATGTACCAACATATGCACGTACATTTACAAAGGTTTTCATAGTACTCTGGGACACTGGTATCTTATATTAGGTGCTCCAAGCACTCGCTCAAACTCCAGTTCCAACTCAATCAAGGGAAATTGGACTACAAGACTACATGCTTCATTTCTTCAAAAGATGCTTCATCCATTTACCATTTACCATTTTAAAAAAAATGTTTCATCTCTTTAATGCTCAAAGTAGAATAATTCGCACTCTAAAATGGCAAAAGGTGACCCATTTGCCGCAACATGAATTAGTGCCCATTTTGTAATATTTCTGCCAAAAATAAAAGCTGATATCAATTACTAACCTGGAGAACCACAGAATTGGTCACTATATCACAACTGTCAATAACATCGACAATAGGAACCTGAGCAGCATCTTCAACAAGTTCCTTCCCAATGCAGGACATATTAAAACCATACACATTTTCCCAAAACGGAATACTAGTACCACCCCTTCCAAATCCAGCAACAAACTGAAAAGGAAATTAGGAGTAAGTAAAAGTATTAGTCGTAATTACAAAATCCAAATCAAGAGTTAGGTGTTTTGTTGGAAGAGCTTAGACAAGAAAATTAATTATTCAGGCTGGTTGGGATGGAGTCCATTGGTCCTATGGAGGATGAAGACACATTAGGACTGTTCTTTTCAAGATTATTAGGAAGTGGCAGAGGTATGGTTCAGTCACTGTTGCATGACTATGAGGACTTGGATGAGAATGTAAATGCTTGGTGGAAGTCCCAGTTCCAAAGGTTAATCGTTGATATTTCTATGGACAGGGTCTTGGAACCCCCAGACCTTAAGATTTAAGTATTGCTCCACATGTTTTTCTAGTGCAGAGGTAGGAGAGATTCATTATAATCAGGCAGTTACTTAAAGGAAGATGGTTGACCATTGCAGGACCGATTTCCAAGATTTGGAAATCTCTACAAAGTTACATAGATAAACCTATGTTACATGGAATTGGGTACATGTGTCAGGTGAGGGTACGTATCCATGATTCGGATGTGTCAAATCCCCAAGGACACATGGACACTGTTAAAAGTTCGTAAAATATAACACAAGGTTGCATACATTGACCTTCCCAGACCTGCAGTGGAGGGAGCCTCGTGCATAGGGCTAGCCCAATTTATTTTCTAGACTAATGAAAATTGTGCAGTTTTATTCAGGAAAAATAAAATAAAATCGTGCAGTTTATGAAACCATGTGCTATGGCTCAAATCCATGGTCAATCCTATTATAAGCATTTCCCTCATTTTGAAGCAATAATATAATAAAATTGAATTATTAGATTTTTTTTAGATGCATATCCAATAGTAATATCAGACACATATCTCATACCCATGTCTGAGCATAGTGTGTCCGACCCGTGCACTAAACCTACTTTCAAAGAGCCCATGTAACACAGAGCTAAACAGGCAAAGTGCAACTTTGAAGTAGAATTGGTTCCTGTAAAGGGTAAAAAAAAAAAAAAAAAATTCTTAAGAATGCATTTGGTTGGGGATTTGACTCCATGAATACATTGGCACTGAATATGGTGAAGGTGCAGAAATGGGTGTATTCTAGGTAGAATTTTTTTTTTCCCTGAATGAGTTTGATTTTAATGATACAAAAATAGAGTACATGATAACAGTCAAAAGGCTAAGGCAGACAAAAAACTAACTAGGGCATACACTAGTACAAGAAACAAAAAACCACAATCAAAAAGCTGAATCTAGATCAGCCACAGGCAGGCCTATGGCTTGACAGCCTTCAAAACAGGCTTCAATAGCAATCTGATGAGGTGGCCTTCTAGTACATCCATGCAATCTACTGCTTCTCAGAGTCCAAAGACTCCAAATGAGAGTTGAAAATACGCATTGAGAGAGTTTAGGTAGAATGTTTGCGCATGTGTATCTTGGAAGTAAATGAGGTCCTGACCTCGTGTCGTATGAGGAGGCCGAGAGGATACCAATTTGGTTTTCAAAGCAATTCAATTGATGCAAGACAGATTTTCTAGCAAGCTGGTATTTTAAAAGATGGGGCTAAAACCAAGCAGTTGTAGGTTTGGGTCTCTGGTTTACTGCTTCATTGGTGGACTCATGAGTTTTGGGTCTACAAGAGAGAGACAGGAAGGTTTCATTAAATGCAGGTACAGCAAGAAGAAACAATATCCAGTTGACTAGGATCTTGGTATAGGTGAATGGAAGTTCAAGTCGAGCACACAGTTAGCCAGTTAAAACAAATTGGTACAGGTCATGGGTAATATTAGGTACCTATCTGGGTAGAATTATCATCCAGATACTAGGTAATAGTGGTTAGTTTTGCTCTGCAGAGGAAGAGAATGTGTGACCCATAAAGGCTTGAGGCACATGGAAGACAGACAGCCAGACAGATGAGTGGAAGGACAGCAAGACAATTAGTTAGCATCTGGGTATGTCTTATATTATTGCTAACAGGGTGTTTGAAATTTCAAGTCTCAAATGGGCTGACATGGCAGCATGTGAGAATCAAGTGAACTCTTGGAGAGACGGGTTCCAATTAAAGCAACCAAGTGAAGGTAGGGATATGGAATTTTTTTAATTCAATGATAGGGGAATTAGGCCCGGGGATAAAGGTGATTTAAAAAACCAATACTCTCACATCGCAAGCAAAGGGGAGGTTGAGTGAGCCGTACAATGGGTTTGATGTCTTAAGGCAAGGAAGACAAATTTGCGGGTGACTGCTGGCTTAGAAGAGTTAAGGGAGCTTCAGAACTGTAACCTCGCGATGGGATTTCCCAAAATGAAGTTGAGGATCAGAGGTTTGGGGGTGAACAGCTTGGCCATGCTAGAATGTGGTGATGCTGTGTTTTTTTTTTCCCTTTTTCTTCCTTGGCAAGAATGTGGTGATGCTTTTTTCAACTGTGAAGAGAGTGTTCGGCGCCACAGAAAAGGGTGGGGACCCCAATTCTGAGGCAAGAGAAGGGTAAGGCCACCTGGTGGAAGGAGACAGAGGGTACAAGCCCTGTTTGCATCGTATATTATTGTGTTGTGCTTTCGTGTCTTTTATAGAATTTTGCTCTGTTATTAAAAAGATTTACAGAAGAGAACCAAAATGCTCTTGAGAGAACTCACAATAGTAGCTGTGTCTGGGAGAATGGCACCTCCAGGCTTCAACCATCGATCCCGTGCAAAGAGCACAGAGCTAAGCATTGACTCATAAAGTAGGCAATAACCCATCCATTCACTCAATAAAACATCAACACTGTGGGGTTGAATTTGTTCAGTAAGCTCTTCAACCATACCTTGGACCACTCTTATTACCCCATCAGAGTGATTGGCACCTTTCCAAAAAAGGCCATTATCTTTTGCAATCTGCACTTAACCAAACAACACCAATATTAAGTCTAAAAATCACACACGAGAAGCAAGATAAACTACTGGAGGAGATAAATTGTTGATTTCACAGTTATAAATGCAGGAATATTTACCTGAGTTGCCACCCCAGCCATCTTATCACTGGCTTCAACTGCAATTACCCTCGAAGCCCCTGCTTGGGCTGCAAATAGACTAGTGAAGACAAGAATAAAAAATAAGATATGTTAACACCCCTGTTATATAATTAACATTCAGAATAGAGTACCAATTAGGTCCCATTACCGAACTGTTGGAAAAACTAAAGAGAATGTGTGAATGAGTTCATGCAAATATATCAAGTGAAAAGTTCACTCATTTCAGTGAAAAACAAATTAATATCACAAAAGTGATGTTAGTAGCAACATATAAAGTCAGAAGCATCAGCCAACAAGACAAGAAGTACAACTCGGGATATAACTTTCAAGGCAAAGTAGGAATCCTAGTTATGAATTCAGAGGGGGGTGAATACGTCATTTATGTTTTTTACTTGAAATTAAGCAACGTTTTGTTTACTTTAAGCAATCCAACAATAAGTAAAGCAATTAAAAGAGAGCAATTTTTACGTGTAAAACCAACCGCAGAAACCCATGGGTACATAATCTCAGGTAAACAAATCCACTAACATCTAGAAATGGTAAGACCGTTGACGCAAGACAAGTAGTGTTTAAATAGTAACCAGAAAGAAAGAAGGGGATGAGAATGAGAAGACAGATGAAGGGGATGAGAAACGGAGTGAAATATAAGAACAACAACAACGAGGGAGACAAGATACAGGAAGAGTTCGCAAACTCACAATAATAATCCAACATTTCAAAGTTGATTGTCTGATTACATTTAAGCCTTTATATAGGTACCAGCGGGCAGTGGCCTAGTGGTATCCGCCTCTTACTTCCCAAAGGGAGGTCACGGGTTCAAGTCTCAGAAGAGACAAGTGTGTGTGAGTACCAACTACGAAAAAAAAAAAAAAGCCTTTATCTAGGCAAAACATAAACAAACCCTAAAATATTAAAATACTAAAATATCTCTGAACATAGAACATTACCAAAAATAACAAAAACAATTAAAATAAAATCTAATTACATCAAATCCCTAATTCATCTATCTTTGCCCCTTTTCCTAAAGTAGAGGCAGAACATATGTGGCTCATCCATGAGTTATGGGGTCAAAACCAACCAATCACAAAAGGGAGGTCATTTAAGTTATGGGGTCAAAAACAACCGGCATATTTATGTTTCAAATGGGCTGAAACTCTCTTTAGCAGGCAGTGTAGAGCTCATTAGAACAATCTAACCTCTTACAGCTATTATTGTTCTTCAGTGAACAACTAGAAATCTAAGGGAACGAAAATCCTTGATTCTAACGTCATAAGCTTCCTTTGGGGTTCTAGTGAAGACAGGAAGAGGATTCATCACTTGAGATGGTCTACTATTATCCTGCCCAAAACTGAAGGTGGACTGGGTATTAGGAGAGTTCAGATGTCAACTATGCATCTAAATGCCTCTTAGATTGGAATTATTTGCAGGGCAAAGATGCGCTATGGGTAGCTGGTTCAAGGAGAATTATGGAAAGAGATCTTCCTTCTGGAATTGCAATGTCAAGCCTACAGACTCTTCCCTTTGGAAGAGCATTGTAGCTGTGGAAGATTTCATGCTTGCTAATGCATATTTCCAGATTGGTAATGGTAGATCCTTCAAGATTTTTCTGGATCCTTGGACTGATGGATTGAATCTTCAGCAAAGATTTAACCATAGAAAATGGTTTCTGTCTGGTTTGCCTAAGAATTCTACTTTACAGTCCATTATTGTCAATAATTCTTAATGCATTCCCTGCTGAGGTGAGTGCTTACATTCAGTCCAAAAGGCTGTTATCTGGGGATGAATCTGTCCTCTGGAAGCATGGCAGGATCTCTTTAAAGGCCATTTGGAACAAATGCAGACCTATTGGCAATAGAGTCTATTTGTATCCTCTGGTGTGGAATGGCTGCAGGCCTAGGCTCTCAATTCTGTTGGTTCCATTGAACTTCAAGCATGCTTTGGAAGTCTCCATTCTGTCAACCTTGGGGTCCAAGATCTTCAATTTTTGTTTTGATTTTAAAGGTTGTAGATTTGTACTAAAAGCTTTCTTTAAAGTTCCGTTGGTTTCTTGCCTTTTTGATAGCTCTTGGTGAAGGGATGCCTTCACTTGTCATATTTTACCATATTGTAACTTTTTTGTTAATAATATATACCCCGAAAGAAAAGTAAAAAAAAAAAAATGTTAGTTTGGGGGTTGAAAAAGCCACTATCGCCCGAAGTAGGAAATTTGCACAATATTACCAGAAAATATTAAAAATAAAAATCCCGTTTAAGGCAAACCAGTTAGAAAAAGAGAGTAAAACTCCTTCATTTATCTTCCACAAATACCAGAAATATCAAGATTTCAAGCTGAGGACCAAATGAAATTAAGCGAGACATTTTTTTTTTTAATCTCCATCATCATGTGGTAAAGACCTCAATAGTCAATTCTAGCATGACGGCCAACAGTTAAAAGTCTATCATCTTTCAGTACTCTATTTTAACATACTTTTTAATGAATAAAATATGATAAGATACTAAATGATCTAAAACATATGCACATGCACAAACAGTCACACACATGAATCATATATTGGCAAATTAACTGTTAATTCCTAAAAACACTGGTACTCATAGTCATAACTAGATTACTTATCGTATATTTTGTGAATTTGAAGTACTGGAGGAAGGAAGTCACCAACATAGCAGGCCTCAACAGTATCACCGATTATGGATTCCTCCAAAATCAATACAAATAAAGATAAATTTGAATCGACAACAAAAATCCAATATGAAAAAACATAAAAAAAAATTAGAAAAGTAGAAAAATGCCTTCTCACCTCAGTATGCCAGTTCCACAACCTACATCTAATACAACAGCATCGCGCAGGAGAGAAGGATTATTCAATATGGCATGTTCATAAGCATCCGTTCTCACCTATATAACCAGAATGTGAGTTTCTAGACGCGCATATTGACAATGAACTTGCAATATTTTGTATAAAACCCTCTCATGAATTCAACTAAAAGTTTCACTTCTACAGGAAATATAAGATTAAACTTGATACCTTATCGCTTATCATCTCTCTATGGATGCCAAATGAACTGTATGACCCAAAATAATTCTGATTAACATTCTTCATTTCCTTTGCTACAGCATTTTTAAAAGGAACTCTGAAATGCTTATCTATTGGCTTTATACCAAATGAATCACCATGTTCTTTCACATGAATACCATCGTCTGTCACCTTCTTCAAAGGATTTGCCACGTTCATATTGTGGTTGGTACCAGAAGTAACCTCCATCTTTCCATTCTCACAAGAGGTGCTGCAATCAGATGCATATGTTTTTAAAGCATCATCATCATCATCCATGCAAATATTTTCAATACTACTCAAATCCCTCCAGAGTTCCTCCTTGTCAACTAATGCAATCTCCTCATCTTCACATTCTTCATCTTCAGTGAAACTGTACAAGAGTGGATCATCTTGCATGAAAGGTTTAAGATATTTGTTGTCATCCCATGGAAGCATGTTGACCTCATAACTGACTGTTTCATGCAAATGATTCCGTAGTTCTTGCTCAGACTGACAGGTAAGTCCACAGTTCCAACATCTGTTTCCTGCCACCTGGTGAAACAATAAGAAAATACCAAATGAGAAATCTCAAGCCTTTAGCATCTTGTATGCTGCAACCTCCCCAAACTAAAAATTACAAGTGCAGCTTGATAATTAAAAATAGTTACTCAAAGGGTTTTCTTCTCATCATACAGAACATGGCAGTGTATTCTTCACAACTATCTATAAGTTATATAGATGTGAATGCCCGATTTCATTTATCCAACATATTGACAAAGTGACATTTGAAACCATAATTGTTAAAAAGACTCAGCGCACAATGAGGTATCAGAGGTCAATTGGGCCTTGATGAAACCTGATTGAGGTAAGATATGTGTGTGATAAAAATGCACATTAAATATATGTACAGAAAAATAAAATTAAACTATGAAACACAACTATTCAAGATCAAATAAAGAAAAATTCAGCATATCAATTCAATGGATAAGCTAAATTAATATACATATTGCAAATAAATTCAATTAAATCAATGTACAAAAGGAACAATTCAAGATATGCAACACAACTCATCAAAAATTCTTTAAGAATTGGATTTTCGACATATCATCTAAGAAGATCACATAAATCAATGTGCATATATCCTTTCAGTTTACATACGCATTAACCACATCAAATGCCATTACAAATGTTTTTTCACAAGGAAAAAAAAAAAAAAACAATTGTTCAGTTCTTGGCTTTGTTGTTTAGCCCATGGGAGATTTGAGGTCCATTCATTTTATGTAAGATTGGTGGATTCCTTTCCGTGGAAGGCAATTTGGCACACAAAAGCCCCTTTAAAGGTGGCATTTTTCAAATAGATGACAACTTTCAAAAATATTTGACGATCAATAATTTGAGGAAAGGTGATTGATTATAGTCAATTGGTGTTGCGTATGTAAGAAGGCGGAGGAGTCCGTTAAATATCTCCTCTTGCACTATCCAGTTCTAGGGATGGTTGGGTCTTGATTCTTGGCCTGTTTGAAGTGAGTTGGGTCATGCTACTTTCTACGAGGACCACGCTCGAAGCTCGGAGAGGGTGTATGGTGGGGAAGCAAGCTCGAGATGTATGGAAGGTTGCCCCTCTTTGTCTATGGTGGAGCTTATGGCGAAAAAGGCATAGGAGATCCTTCGATGGGAAGGAGACTCATATTTGGGCATTCAAATTTACTTTCTTACTACTTTATTCTTTGGGACTAATGGGTGGTATTGTAAATCTGTAAAGGATATCATGTTCTTTTTGGAAAGCTTGAGAGTATAGTGTTTCTTTTTGGCCTTTGTGCAATTGTAGCGGGATGCGCTCCCCATTGGATTGCCTTTCTATATACTCCCTCTATCCCAAAAAGGATGCCACAGTTCCCAAAAAGTGACATCCTTTTTGGGACGGAGGTAGTATATCCCATATATAGATGTTAGAAGATAAAAACCTTACCTACAAATGATTGTTGTTCATTGATTTAGAAGAACTCTCTATAGATTTTCTTCATCAGTTCTCACTTAGCAATCCAAACATTTTGCCTCTTACTCAGATTCAAGCAACTCTCCTTCGACTTTGCATAATTAATATAACATCCATAACATTCTACACATATATGTGGGCAATGTAATGATAAAATTCATAACTAAAAATCCAATAAAAGAAATAATTATTGGCTTTTGAGGACATACACGACTTGTTAGACTGGAAACAAGCTATGGTTGCATAAAAATCTGAAAGAATGTAAATTCCTCATACATAGTTAATCTTGTTTCCAATCCCTAAAAAATGTCTGGAAGTACTTATATCAAATCCTAATAAGTATCCCATCCAACGCAAGAGTCACTGAGGAATAACATACTTCTAGAAATTGAAACAAAACATCGGCTCCAACACTATTTGTTTGCTGAGAAAGCAAAAGAATTTAAAAATCTTAAATTTAAAAATAAACTTAGATTTGAAATGTTTAAAAAAAAAATTCACCTGAGATCTGACGTAGTTAATGAGCTTCAACGAACCATAGAAATCCAAGCCTAGGGTTGTCCTGATGCCGTGAAAATCGAAGCGGTGACTGGAATTACAGTGTTCGAAGAGCGCATCACTAGAACTGTAGTTGGAATCGCAGAACAAACAGAGTATATTTGAATCCAAACCACCTTCTTCATCGTCCTCGCCGTCTGCTTTCCAATCTTCCCAGTTTTGTTCTTCGTCTTCTTCAACTTCTAGCTCTGTATCATCCATTTCTACGTTTTCTATCAGGTTATTCGCCAGTGTGTATCGTTGAGGCCAAAACAGGAAGCAGTGTGGTCACGCTCTTAAACCCTGAAATTAAAACCCCTACACCCTCCCTTCTCAAAAGCAAAAAAGTCTATGGGTGGGCCGGGCAACCCAACCCAATAAAGTCTAACTGATTTATTGCCGGGTTGGTCCGGAAAAATCTCAATCCAAACTTAATTAGGTTTGAATTTAGGTTAAAATGTTAGCAACCGAGTCCAACTCAAACCCCAATTCTAATACGGAGTATTATTTTTATATTTTTTTATTTTAAATACATTATATATAATATTCAAATTACGATCACCTTTTTTTCTTTTCAACTTCCCCCTTTTTCTAGTACTTTTCAGCCTACTTTGTTAAATCTTAATTTTTTGGATGTAAACATTTAGGAGAATTAAATTTATAAGAATTTGTTTGTAATTTATTCAAAATTTACAATAGTTTTTATAACTTTTTTTTAAGAGTAATTTTAATATGCAACTGATTCAAGATTACATTAAATTTTCAATACGAATATGACCAAATGGGTATCTCGAATTAACCCAACTGTCTAACTCGAAATCCAATCTTGAGTTTAAAAATATAATGATAGGTTGGGCTCAGATTTAGTAGCTAAGGTTAAAGGTAGATGTAGGGTTGGACTCGGGTTGAACATTTCGTATATTGGGTTGCGCTCAACATGTATATACAACTCACCTAATGTGTCTGAATTGCAGCTATATGCAAAAAGGTGTGGACTGTGGAGTACAATATATTATATTAAAAGTAGTGGTGCACAAAAAAATTGTTCAACCCTAAATCGGATCGAAACGATTATTTGGTATGCAGTTTTATGGTTTCGATCTGATTCCGATTTCATCATTGGTTTGGGTTTTTACAAGACTGAACTGAATAGTTAAATAAATATAGATATATTTATATATATTATTCATATAATATATGTAATAATCAACCGGCCAGTAACCTAGTGGTATCAGCCTCTTACCTTTCAAAAGGAGGTCGGGGATTGTATTTAGTATATAATATTAAGAAAAAGTTCATATGAGTTATAAAATAATAATTGTAAAAAAATTTACTAATATAATGATGCACAATAAATTTTAAAATACTTTAATACTAAATTTTATGTTATATTTGGGTCTAAACGTTAATTTTTTTATTTGTTTGCTTAGACATCATTTTGTTCAAGAGAAGAAAAGGTAAACTTCTTCTATTCTCTTAAAGGTTTATTATTGATTAATAATTTCGAAATTCAACTAAACTTTGCCTAAATCCTTTTTTTTTTTTTTTTAAATATCTTGAAATTCTTACTTATATATATAACTAAAGCAATTTAATGAATAAAGTATAGATTACTAAACAAAAATAAATAAATAAAAATATAAGTGATGAACACATCAAAGAGGATTAATTATTTGAAATCAATGTAACATACACCTTTTATTAAAAAAAAAATGTGAGCAACATGTTTTTTCCAATTTAGAACGCAACACAAAAGAACCAAATTTAAAAAACCTTCACTCATATATTTTCTGATTGCCGTCTTTGTCATTGCCACGAATGAATACTTCATGAGGTACTTCATCCCGAAAAGTCGAACTTTTGAAAGTGAATGTATCAAGTTTTTTTTTTTCTTTTTTGAAAGTGAATGTTCAAAGTTCATATTCGTGATACCAGGATTGCAAAGCATGTTAAAGATTTAAACATCAGTGGCAATAAAAAGGCAGTGACTAGATATATCCCGAGTCACATAGCTCAGAATGGAAATTTTGTGGAAATTTTGTTTCAGAATCAGCTACTTGTTCCACTTTCTCCAATTTTTTACACTTTCAACTTCACTTCTACTAAAAAAATAAAAATAAATCACAAATTTAATGCAAAATTCTCAAATTTTAAATAAAATAAAAACTACATTTATTATTTCAATATTGATAACAACAATTTTACTTCAATTACACTAATTTTTCTGCACTCAGAAATTCATCTTTTAAATCCATTAGAGGTAAACTAAGCATATCATACTTCAGAGGTGGTGGTGTAAATCAAAACAAGGTATAAATGTTACTAACTAGCATATTACTTTGTTTACACACAATACATGTTTCTCCAACCTCATCTATTATATGCTCCAAACAATGCCGAGTTGGTTACTACAGAGACCATAAACTAGCCTTGCAGCTTCAACATGGTACCTCAAACCCGGTTGTATGCAACCGAACTATCGAACAGGCGGCGTATATACACGACTTGCAATCCACTTGCAAGGGCCAGCAAAATGTACTCTGCAATTGTGTAAAATATGACGCGCTTCCTTGTGCTTTCATTAGCTGCATAAAAAATACAGACATTGCGATGATTAGCAAACTATCCGGCTAATAACAATCATAGAATCACAATCGTAATCTTGTCACCGATCTAATTTGATGACTCATCTGTGCTACCAGATGACACACTAAAGAGTCGTGGGACTAGTTTTATTAATTACCACTGCAAGGCTGTTACCTCCCATGATATCAATTCACACACACACATGCGCAAACGCGCGCGCACACATTAATGAATAAAATCAAAAAGAAGAAGAGGAAGAAAAAGTAACGGAATCCCAAGTTGGGTTGATTTGGGAATATGTGAAGGAATTCACTACCTTGACTCTTGAGAATCCTGATTTATCCGACAAAGACTCCCTCTTCTTCGTCATGGATGGCCTACAATCATGGGCCAAGACAGAGTTGAGGCAACACAGGGTGCAAGACCTCGGCACGACTATTGTGGAGATGGAGTCCTTTATCAATTTCAGTTCTAAGGAGGACCCCTCCAAGCCAAAGGATAAGGGGCGTAATGCCAACAAAAGTGGGGAAAACAAGGGCGCCACGCTACACAAGGGGTGGTCCCGTAAGTAAGGCAACTGTGAAGAGGGAAAAGAGAGCAAAGAGGCGTCCAAGCTCAAGAGCAACTGTTTCTCATGTGATGGGCCACATTGGGCAAGGGACTGCCCTAGGAAGACGACCCTCAATATCATGACTAGCCAATATGAGCAGCAGCAGCAGCATGAGGAGCGCAGATGGGGTCACTACAAATACTCAACGCCATCAAGGCCAAGACGGAGGTCCCCAAGGAGGCAACTAAGGGGCTGATGTTCGTGAAGGCAAACATCAATGGGTGGTACGGGGAAACCGACAACTTTGTGAGCATAGAGGCGGCCAAGAGGATGGGCCTCAAGTATAGCAAGGACATGGGCTCCATGAAGGCAATTAACTTGGCAGCTAAGGCCATCCACGGCATGGCAGGCGGCATCAAGGCTAGCATAGGAGAGAGGGGGGTGGCTATATTGATCTATCAGTGGTACTCATAGACGACTTCCATCTAGTCTTTGGGATAGAGTTTCTCGACAAGGTGAAGGCCTTCCCCATTCCCTTTACCAACACCATGTGCATCGTGGAGGAGAGCACGACATGCAGGTGCCGGTAGAGTGCGGTGCCAAGATAGAGGCCCAATCATTGCCGACTATGCCATTCAAGAAGGGGGCAACTAGTTATCTTACTACACTACTAGAGTCTCTGGATGACAAATTAATCCTGCGCTCGTATGTTTTTCAGTTAAATTCCGGAAGTTGTTTAAATTAGTTATCCAATGAACAAGACCATTCCACCCCACTTTAGGTCTAGATCACTGATATTGTGCAACTCTCAATCAGAGCCTAGGGTTACGGGCTAACAATCTATTAATGATTTTTGGGACAACATCAACGACTGACAATATATTAGCACATCCATCAGTCACAACATCACTATCTACATTTCTAATATCAGCTTCACCATTTCAAAATGAGTTGATGTTAGTTTATCGTATCTAGAGGCCACTACACAAATTTTCCCATACTAATGTAGGGTGCTAAAGAGGATAAATTGAGTATGCACAAAAAGGCTGCCCTCAGCGCTTTGAATTTACTCATACCCGTAGAAGGAATTCCATGTGACTCACATTGGCATCACTGATTGTATGATTTCAAATTAATGCTCAAATCACAGTTCTCACATCGTCACACCTGATATGTTGCCCCTCTTAAGGTAGAACGTGTTTAATGCCTCATTGGTACAGAAATTATTGTGCAGTAACTTTTTACAATTTCTAAAATTTCTAGCCCAATGGTATAACCTCCCTATCCTCAAACAGGGATTCAAGCCCAAGCCGAGACAAAAAGTGTGTGTGAATACTTACCTGATAAAAAAAAATAAAAAACACATGATACTGGCAATGATGCGAGTAATGAGTATCATGCAACACAAACTTCAATGTTTATCTAAAATGAAGAAAATAATTCAGTTCAGACATGCATGTATGTTAGAAGTAAAGTCCCTGGAAATACATCACAAATACAGATACATAAATCATCTAGATTCAGGGAATCATCATGTGCAACACCCTACAAGAATGTGGCAGCACAACATCCAACCCCAGACCCACAACATATGGTGATCAAGAGATATGAATCACTAGGAAATTTTCAGAAAGCTAATAGAACAAATTATAGAAAAAAAATCCACAAAATTACTAGCTTACTGCACCAATTCAAATTTACAATTTCAAGAAAAGAGAAAGCAGCTTACTGTGACGATGACGAGCATCACGTGCTTTCAAGTACTTCTGCTCCGCTGTGACAGATTCCAGTGCCTCCCTCAGCTCAGCAATTTTAACATTAATAGGGTCCAAATGTTCTGTAACCAGCCACAAAGAAAGAGTAGCATTATAGAGATCTTTTGGTGTAAGCAGATAAGCTTCAAACATGTTACTTGGCTAAAAATATTCAACAATCAATCAATATTTCATGATGAAGGTCTAACACTTTATAGCCGTCCACAGTTGAAAACTACGTAAATATTAATTACTGAAAAAATAATAATAAAGAAAAAAGAAAAGAAACAATAAAGATAAGGTGATAACTGATAATGTATTAAAATCTACAACAATAATATATTTACATAAGCATTGAACAAACCATCTTTGGCGAGGTCATGCTCATTTGGAATATGGCCAACATGTATGTAGAACGAGACAGTCTCAGGTGTCGAGTAAGGATTATGAAAACAGAATTTATACATTCCACTTCGTGGTGCCTTAAACTCAAACTTGTCCCCGGATGTTCCCTTCGAAGTGTGCACCGTATTACTGGCTGGAGACGTCACCTGCATGGAAACCCAGAGATAAGGATTCTTGAATTATTAATTTGTCATTCTTAAATAACAAAAGTCTAATAAATCAAATTGTGTTCATATGGTAAGGAGTGGATCATAAATTATCCAGCCAAGTAAGTTTGCAACAAGTCTGAAACAGTGCATTGTGAACTATGTAGGTAACAAGGAAGGAAATTTGGTTAACTCAGCGTGTGTTGTTAGCGCCGTATACACAAGAAGTCCCTACTAAGAAAAAGAGGAGGGTTGCATTGATAGCTTCAAATATCATTAGGACTACATGAACATGAATCCTAAGAATATTGGGAAAAAGTTTTGTATAGTTGAGTTCAGAATTTAGGACTGTACCACTTAATATAATTATAGAAAACCATGTGCTGCATTTCCAAGAAGTATCCTGTCTTTCTAAAACCCCTTTTCATTTTGTGAAATGGACCAAATTAGCAAAGCCTTGTTCCAACTATTCGAGGAATGCAGCGCGAAATTATGAGTCTTGTTTTGCAATTCCAATCTATCCAAAAGCTATAGGCCCCATTTGACAACTGCTTTTGCTTTGTGTTTTTGCTTTGACCCGAAGCAAAAGCAATGTTTCTGCTTAAGAGTGTGTTCAATACTATTTGGAAGCTTGTTTGGTAACGTAAATTTGTTGCAAAATATTTGGAAGCAAAAACATGAAAGCATGTTTAGTAAAAAGTGTTGCAAGTTTGAAAATTTGAATAACTAGTTAAAAATGTTATTTTAGAAAGAAAAATAAATAAATAAATTTGAACAGTGCTTTGCTACCATGCAGAAGCAAACAAAAGCATCATTTTTATGCTTCCGATTTTGGCCTCAATTTTGGAAACGCTTCGGTTCTATTCAAATGATAGCAAACGTTACCAAACATGCTTTGTGCTTTTGCTTCGCTAAAGAACACTAGCAAAAGCAGCATTACCCAAACAGGCCCTAAATTTTTTAGTATAACTTTATGCCATCAATTCCTAATCATACTATTTCGCTAGCCTCAAAAATACAAACAACCATACAATTACTCATGTCTAAAACTAGACGACCTACATTTCCAGTATTTTGAAGCTGCCTTATAATGTAGTACTAGTGGCTGAGTCCATTAAAATAAGGGTAACACGGATAGGACTTGTAAAACAAAGATTTTAAAGCATTGGTAGAGATTTTGGTAACTAATAGGTGTTGTTTAATGGTTATATAATTGTAATCCCCTCTTTGTGATAAAATCTATGAGAGAACATGTTAAGAGAAATATAATTATCAGAGAAAAAGATGAAGATGATTCTCACTAGGGATGAAGCCCAGTCTTATACTGATGTAGCCAGGATCCCTAAACTTCCACGGGATGGAGTTGTCAAGATGTCTAAGTCGAAGAGAGGCTTTGACTTCTACCTGGATATGAAGGAATCGGGAAGCAAAGAGAGGTTATTCAATCGTGTTTGGTGGGAAAATTCGATTGCAAGGTCAGCAGCCTTGCACAAATCGAGCAATGGCGTCTAGGGCATGGAACGTATCTCGTTGTGTCACGGTCTCACAACTGCCAGACACCCTACTGCTATTCTGCTTAACAACTCAAGCCGAAGTTGTTAGGGTCTTTATGAATGGAAGAAGAATATGAGGTGAAGCGATGGTTAGGCTCAAGATATGGTCCTTTTGGGTTGGGTCTTCTAGAGTCCTCGAGGAGGAGGAGAGGAGAATTTTATTACACAGGTTACCTCTTCACCTTTGGTGCTCCGCCTTGCTCAAGGCCATCAGAGATGCTTGCGGAGGGTTTCGACAAGTGGAAGCAAAGAAAAGGTTTAGTGAGCAAAATCCTTATCGCGGTGAAGTCAAATGAGATCCCACTGTAGATCCTCACTAATGATGAACAACTACTATGTTATGGAGTGTTTTTTGGCAGAGGAGAGACTGCCAGAGCTTCACCCGACAGCGAAGAGGTTGAACGGACAAAATGAGATCACCTTAATGACGGAGGAAGAGTGGTTGTAGTTTTTGGAAGAGAGGAACAGACAATTGCAGGTACAAGGTGCGTTGCAAAGGAGAGGTAGAAGATGGAGTGCGAGGAACGTGCCGGGGATGCGTACGGGGGTGAAGGAGGATGCCAGGACACATGTTGACATTATGGGTGTTGTCGACACGTGTTGACAATAGGAAGGAGTAAGGACTCGTACAAGGGGCAGCTGGCAAATACTATGATTTTGAATTAAGAGAGGCACGTACCAGGCATGGGGTACCTTATATCAACTCAGGCCTCACTCTGGGACAGTGTCCAGTACTGGACAACAACATTAAGCTAAAAGGTGGGATTTTGGGCCAAAGAGAAGGGATGTTGGGCCAGCAAGTCTCGGAAAAGAAAGGCCCAAAGACAAATGGGTCAAGGAGGTTCGTCTCAGCAAAACAAAAGGAGATGGGCCAGGCTTCACAACGAGAGGGTGAGTCTGTCCTAACTAAATTGAAGTGACGCATATGTTAAGTGTGCACATCGAACTTAATCAAAAAGAGAATTGTGCATATGCTTCTGGGCCACAACAGACTGGGTTGCAAAAACATATGGATATGGAAGATATGAAAAGCCTAGAAAAAGTGGGCCAAGCCAACCAATCAAGAAGCAACTGAGAGGGAACCGTTTGACGTGGGTCGAGAAAGGAAAATGGGTTGAAGAGAATTGGTAGTAAGCATGGATAAAGCCCAGATATCCCCTGCATCTCAACTTCGGTGGGTCCACTAGGATCAGAAGATGGAGTGGGGGGTTCCAGCGAAGATGGAGTAGGGACTTTTGACAAAGCTTCTGCGAGGGATACGGTTAGCCAAAGTCCAAGACCCATGCACATGATCAAAATAGCACTGGGAAGATGATTGTGCCGACAGAGGGAGGTCCAGGAAGCCAACAGTTGACATATTATGGTATTAAACTAGATGTGACTTTGAAGGATCAAGGGGTAAGGGAATCCCCTTCCCTGAGGGGAAGGGGATACAATTACATTTGAGGGAAGATTCTGTCTTGTTTTGTTAAAGCAATTGTGCAAGTACAATGGGGTAGGGAGGGAGAGTGAATCGTAGGAGGATTTGAAGCAATTGAATGGAGCACTTGGATCCAGTACCCCCAGTGAGTGGAATAATTTGGAAAGATCGGGCAGGGACAAAGGGGATGGTCTCCCGAACGACCCATTTGATTGCTCCATGGAGGTGGCTATGCGGGTGGAGGATGTGGATTAGGAGGTGTGGAGCCCAAGAGAGAGAAGGAAAACTCTCTCACCTTGTATGGAGAACAAAAGGAGTCATACTTGATGGAATATATAGAGGAGCTGAGCAAAAGGTTGGGATTGACATGTGAGGGAAATGAAGAGAAGACAGTTGAGTTATTTCCCTCAATACAGTATGGAAAGTGGTTAGAAGCAAGAGAAGCTCTTCTTGGAGGGGAGAGAGGAAGCTCCATAACCTTATTTCATATGTGAATTATGATGGGAGGATGGGGGTGGAGAAGGAAAGGTATAGGAAGGATGAGGGGGAAAGGGGACTATATTGCTTGCACTTGAAGCTTCGAGTAGTGTCGTGGAATGTCCTGGGTTTCAATGACCCAAATAAATGCAAAGTGGCGAACCTATCATTGAGAAAGTGAGGTGCTCCGGTGATATGCTTGCAAAAGTCTAAGTTGGATTTTGATTCTGATCGTTGTGAGGAGTTTATGGGGTGAAGGTTTGTAGAGTGTGAATTCTTTGATGTTGTTGGCTCTGTTGGAGGTATATTGACCATGTGCAATAGGAGATGTGCATCCAAGGTCGTCCAAGGTCGATATGTGAAAGGAATGATTTTCTATTTCATGCTTGTTCTCCATGGAGGAGAATCGGTCCACTTGGGTATTCTCAGGGTTCTATGGTCTGGTAGAGGCGCAAAGAGGGGGGTCCTTCTTATGGGTTGAGCTAGGACATGCGAGGTGGTGGGCTAGCCCTTGGTGTGTCGAAGGGAATTTCAATGTTGTCCGATTCCCTTAAAAGAGATCTTTCCAAGGGAGGTGGACGCTGGCCATGGAGTGGTTCTCAGGATTTATATCAACACCTAGCAGTTTATTGATTTGCCATTGTAGGGGGATTCCTTTACGTGGTTGAGTGGCAGAAATACAGTAACGATCATAGCGATCCCCTCTCAGTTGTGTGAAGAGTCCTGTAGAAAGTCATCTAGCCTTGCTGGCAGGAAACCATATCATCGAAGGAGGAGCCATCTGTACAAATTGCAAGTCCTTCTTAAACAAAAGACATGCTTCCAAAGGGGTGTCATGGGGGAATCAACGGGAAGGAAAAAATAGGGTTGATTATTCGATTCTACAATTCCTATACATTTCATATTTCTATTTGATGCTTCAGGGTGATTCTTAGACTGATTGGCTACAGCTTTTCGCTTGGAATTCAATGTGGCAGAAGGCAGCCATTACATTGGTGGCTGACACTCTCTCGACTAGAAAGATTCTTGATTTCATGAGATTGGGAGGAGAGATTTCCGACGTGACCCAGGCAGCATTGGCTGACACTCTCTCGACTAGAAAAAATCATTATACGAATGATGCAAGAAATAACTTAGGATTTGCTTTTCCTTCTTACGTCATTCTTGCGGCATGGACTAAGTTTTCCCTCAAACTTGAATCAAAGCTTGAGGTGGATAGAGCATGTGGAGACTGTCTTGTGCCAATATTTTCTATTCGCCAGAAAATAGGACGAGTATTTTAAAACAGGTTAGATGCTACCTTTTTCTAGCATGATATATTTGAATCTTATGTCACAAAACAAATTCTCCCTAAAGAATAAACTTATCCAACTGAACACTGAACTTGTTTATTATTAATCTTAATTAACCAACAGGTAACTTGTTCAACTGTGAAGTGCAAGGAACATATTTTATTCTATTAATCCAAATAAAATCATAGTCTTGAATTTCAAATTTTGCCCAGACTCATGAAACTTTTCTGCTCAAAGCCATGTTCTTCCAACTTTTTCCAAACATTTGATTAAGCAAGACAATTGGAATTTGATTTTTTTTTTTTTTTTTTTTTTTTTGTGGGGGGGGGTGGGGGGGGGGGGGGGGGGGGGGGAATCTGCTAATCGGAATCATTGCACACAAACTAATAATGAGATCAGAATCACTGCACACAAACAACTATGAGAAGAAAGCTGTTTGCTTGTTGGGGGAGGGAGATGAATTTGATTAACAAAGACTGTGCCATACACCGCACAGACTTTGTTATCTTCCACTTGAAAAGCTTCTAATATGTTAGTTTGAAGGATACGAGAGGCCAGGGTAGGAGTTGATGTATCATCAATTCTTACAAGTTAACTGTTTTAATAAGATTCTCATCTTGTCTATAATTTAATCAAAGCTAGCCCTTAAAAATCCCAAGACTTTTCCCAGTTCATTCACAACATTCCACATGTAAACCCCTATTAGGAAAAAACCACATGGACCCAATACCAATCAATCCATTATATAACAAAGAAGTATAACTCTAGTTTCCAGACACTTATCCTAACAATCACCTAAATTATCTTACCTCCTCTAAGTCAATCTTACACCAAACTTTTTTGTAAATCCAGATCCATCGGTCTCAGTGAGCCCGTCCACAATGAGACGTGAAGATGCAAGGATGATGGTTGGTGATCTTCAAATATTTAATGAGATGTGAAGTATAACTCTATGAACTTTCTAAATCTATGATGTCCTCTCAAAAACTTGTAAAAAACTCCCCAAGAATTCTTTTAAGCTCTCCATATTCTCTTGTGTTCTCAGGACATATACAAGCACAATTTGAGCTCTTGTGACGAGTGAGAAACTCATATAGAATCCATTGACTTTGGCATCATGGAACCTATGGACATGCCTATCCCCTCAGGTTTGGCCATATTTCACCCTCAAATATCATTCGAAAATAACTATCACTCACATTACAAATTTTTGCTCCGTTTTTCACTAACACCCCAACCGTTAGTTCAACAATTATGACACGATGTAAAATAACATAAACACCCTTTGAATTTGTCCAAACAATCCTTTAACATAAAGAATTAGATTAAAAGACTAAAATATCCCTAAAAATTTTGTTAATTTACAAATTATATATATATACACACACACATATATATACACATAGACGTGTATATATATACACACACACACAGACGTACATATACATATATACTCCATAAAAATAGAACTGCTGTATGATTTTGAAATTTTAGAATTAGGGTTTGTTGTCTGTTTTCTTGATTTTGTATAGTTAGGGTTTTAGATGTTAAGGACTTACCCATTGATGTTGCGAGCCAGAGGCCGATGGTTCAAGGTGGCCCCAATTCCATCACTTCCACTGTTAGCACCCATAGATACAATGGTGGATAGAGAGGCTATACAGGGGATTTGGGATATCCATATTGACTTATGGCCCTTCAAATGCAGTGTGGTGGGCATCTTATTCAATGGCCCATAGATTCATTTGGAGTGGGCTTGGTTACCATTGCTGTAGAAAAGATGAGAGTGGTGGTGGGAGTAGTGGTTTTAGGCCGGATTCGAAGGTGGTGCTGGCGGTGCAGGGGTTGAGCGCCGGCATGGCAAGTGGGTTTTCTGCGTTTGGTGAAGATTAGGTGCTTGTTACAGAGGATTGGGTCCAAGGTGGGCTTCAATGTCCATGTCTGCAACAACCATGATCACTAGTTTCTCACACGGCTATCTACTAAGAATCAAGAGAGCTTCACTTGATGAGCATGAGCATTGGGCAGAGGAGAAGCAAAAGGAGGGAAGAAAGGGGGTATAATGGTCATTTAAGTAATCTAATATTTGGGAATAACAAAGATTAAAAAATTATGAGCAAAATTATGTTTTTACATATTTTTAACGAAGACTGTAACATATAGTTATTTTCGAATTTTTCAAAAGATGTTTGAGAGTCAAAATGGAAAAGGCTGAGGGGGTGTCACTGAAATTAACCCTTAAAACAAAGACAAATCTTCTCCACTATAACCAAGTTAGGTTAGCCAAATGTTTTGTCTGTGGTTCACAGAGGTCGCTCTTCAAGTAAAGCATTTTGGAATTTAATTTCGGGTGATGGCTCATTCGGGTGATGGCTCATTCGCAAATTAGAGTTTGATTGCACTATCACAAGCAACTTGGTGCATAAATGAACAAGAAACTGTAAAATAAACATAAATATAGAATAAACAAACCAAAACCCTAATTTCAATCAACTCTAAGCTTCCGAATCCAAACAAATTCAAGCAATTCACTAAAAGAAAAAAAATCAGAGAAACAATATTGACTATCAAAGTACGAAGATCCAATCAGATAGACCTGATAAAAATGGACCAGAACTAAAAGCTGCAGATCACGAGACAACAGTGTGCTTGTATGTATATATAGAAAGAAGATAGAGATGATGAGCAAGGGGCTTACAGTAAAGTCGATGCCGGGGTGATCGGAACTCCAGAAGATGTCGTGATCGACCACGACGAAGTTCCCGGATACGGTGTCGCCTTCATAGAGAACGTACTCGTACACGCATTCCTCGTCGTTTACGGTGACCGACAATGCCGTGAGATTGTGAACGAAGCTGAAGAGTAGAAGCCCCACCAGCATCAGCATATGGATCATCTTCGACCGGCTCTTCATCTCTCCTCTCTCCATTATACTTCGCGTCCGATTGACCGACTTATCGGCCTTTTATCTTGGAAATGACAACAAAACATGCGCGCTTGGATCGCTTCTCTTCATATATCGGAGTCGAGAAATAAAAAATAAAAAATAAAAAGGGTAAAGGGCGATAAACCCCCCGCCCCCCTGAATTTTACTCTCTCCAAAAAAAAAAAAAAAAACTCCAAACTTCTATTTTTACAATAAACCCCCTAATTTATTTCCTTTTCTACAAAAAAAAACCAGCTGACACTATTCCGGCACCTATTCATCACCTGACCCAATATATAATTTCAAAATGACTGAGTTAGGGTCTGTTTGTTTAGTGTTTTACTTTGCTGTTTTTGTTGTAGGCTCCATTTCAGGCCCAAAAACATGTTTGGTAGCATTTGTTTTGTTTTAAACAGTACAAAAACATTGTTTTTAACAGTGCACAATTTGGGCCCAAAAGTGAAACACCGAATTGGTGTTTTTTGTTGTTTCTAAACTGTAGCCCAATAAAAAGAACTATAGCGCTTGAAGTAAGTTCGGTCGGAGGAAGTAACTTCAAAACGTCGTTTACAACATTTCGCCCGATCTTTTCTCTCTCCTCTGAAACCCTAGAGAAGGCGATTTAGGAGGCGATTTGGGAGGCGACTGCGATATACTGTGAGTATTCTCTCTCTTCTATTTCTCTCCTGTTTAAAGTTTCCTTTGATGTTGCTTTAATTCCGAAAAACCTCTTTCTTCTTGCTGCGTGAATCCCCCCATATTTCAGTCGATTTGATTGTGACGCCCTTAATGCTTTTCTAGATTTATTTGTGTTCTTGAGGTATTCCATTTCAGAAATTATTTTATGAAAATTTGGTGATTTAGAACAATTAAAATTTTTAACTTGTTTAAACTCTTCTACTCCTATATCAGATTTTTAAGAAATACATCTTTCCAAGGACCAAAATGCACCTATACTTGTAGTTTTCTTTTTCTGTATTTCTGGGTGTGTATATAAAAGTTGAATTAGAAAAAGAAAAGTACAAGTAAGAAACATTCCATCATGACCTTTTTTTTTTCTTCATAAAATGTAATTGGAAAAATAAAGAGTACAATTTCTTTGAAATTTCCACCATAGCCACAGTTAACGAGTTAATAATTGATGATTGAGGTGACCACTACATGGCATAATTTAGAATTTTTTTTTTTTATCTTTCTGAATGAAGGTAATTTGTCATGATAAATGTCTCTTGAGAATTTTGATATAACATTGACCCTTACTGAGCTAGCTTTCTAAAGTACGTACAGTTTTATATATATATGTATGAAGCTCTAAAGTTTAATCCAAGGAGCTACCCCTGGCTGTTCTGTACAATTAAGAGACGCTTTCAAATTGGATGCTAACTTTAAATTATTTTGAAATGTATAAATTAAACAATATTTTATATTACGCATTTGAATTGGAGGAGGATCAGATGGGGAGATCGAGCTCAGCAAATTTATAGAAATAAATAATATTGTCAGAAACCAAGGAGACATTGATGAGGCTTCATTTTAGTATTTAATTTACAAATACAATCTTAAGTTTGTTTTTTTTTTTTTTTTTATTTTATTTATGATAATGACTTAACATCATCATCTTCATTTGTCCACGTCTTTGGGTTGATTGTTATTGTTATGTGAGTGATCAAACTGATTACCAAACAAGTATGAATGGCAAGTGGTGACGGGAATGGTGACTCTCCATTACTGCATGCCTAAGCTAATAGCTAGGAACAGAGAGTTTGTTGCGATTCATATATATTTTATTTTGCCTAATATTTAAGTGTAGACTCCATCTTACTATATAAGTATGATATCAAGTGTGAGCATGTAATATATACATACATAATATATATATATATATGATCACGTATGTGTAGAAATAGTAATATATATGGATCAAGATTTTTTAAGACATTAATAAATAGACAACAAGAAGATTGAAATTTGTGTGTGTGTGTGTGTGGGGGGGGGGGGGGGGGGGGTGGGGGGGGATACATTGTAGTATTAATGTAGTTGCTTGATGAACTGGACCATATTCATTGCACTCACATGCTAATGGGATGATATTATATACACAATTATTGACTCAACTTGGGTTTTGCTCTACTGTGTCTCTCTTATCCATTCTTATGTTGAAAATTACATCTTATATATTGATTTTCTGGATTTTCTTACCATATACAAAAGATTGAAATAATCAGATCAAGCTTGACTTGTTACAAACATGACGAAGTAATGAAAACCAATGAAAACTCAATGTTTTCTTTCATAATAGAGCAATGGATAGTTTTATAGAGAAATAATGTGTGTGTGTGTATATATATATAAGATTATTAACTGCTTATACTAAAAAAGCAAAACAAGGTGCCCGGAGTCATTACTTTGGAAAACCCTCCCATTAATGTCCCCGTCTAAAAGAAATTTTCAAGTTGTTAATGTCCCCATGTTTATCAGAAAACTTTTGAGGATCTGCCATTTAACTTTCATTCCAATATGTTGTAGCAGCCTTTTCCCTCTTCCTTTCCCTTTTGATCTAGACAACAATACTATGAAATACTATGTAGTTAAATAGAAGACTGTGTTGATCAATTAATGAATGTGAGGTTTCAATTTTCAGTTGAGTATTGAGGAGTACTATTTCCAGTCTCACTTCACTTCTAATGTACTTACCAATTGTGTGCTATGTAAAATGCAAATGGGCACCCAACACTCTAGCAGAGGTTTCATTTTTCAGTTGAGTATTGAAGAAAACTATTTAAAGAAATGATAGAAACATAATTGCAATACACAAAAAATCATAGAGTATAGTCAGATTTATCCAATATGTATCAAAGTATAAATTAACTCAATAAATTTATCATAACTTGAAACCCTTTCATCAAACTCTTACAAGATTTGCAACAAGAGAGAACCCAAACAACATTAGCTCAGAATATGTATGAAACTATAGAACATTATTGATCCTGTTAAAAGAATGAAGAATATCAAGAACAAAGAATATGAAAAATAAAATTAAAAAAAATGCTCACTTTGATTTACTATTCCTGTCCTCTCTATTATTATATCATTATGATTATCTCATAGAGTCAACTATTATTATATTACTTATGTTTCTTCTTCTTCTTTTTTTCTTTTTTCTTTTCCCTTTCTGTTTCCAAGATTAAGGAAAAGAGAAGAAATGTTGGAATCTTTCGCATTGCTTATTTGAATTTTTATATATTTTGAATCAACCTGTAAGAGTCAAAATTTTGATTCACTTTAGATTCTTAATTTTTATATATTATACCAATGTTAAATTTTATGTCTCCCTTATCTGATTTTCATGATTTAAACAAATCTTCTATAATTTTGCTTTTACATGTTCATATCCAAATGATGAACTATTTAGAAATCTGAATTTTTGCATGGAACTTGTAAAATTTGGTGCTCTCTCTTGCAAGCTCATTGCTGAGGTTGAGGAACCATGAGTTCATGCTAGGTAGATAATAGGCATTTTGAGGGATATGCTGTTGTTTGATTTTAATATTTTCTTTTTGTTTTTTCTTTTTGGCTTCATTTTTTTAGCACAAATATACTTATGATGCTTTATTGTCCTACAATGTATTGTGCCATTAGACTCCACTTGTCGTATGGGTTTTAGAAATTTTAGCTTTATCTAGAATTATAAGATAATTTTTTTAATAAATAAGTTGATGCCATGGAGACCTGGGCTTCAATCACTTGGCATGATTCATTGTTTGGAGAAACTTATAGCAATAATATTAATTTAAAAATGGTTGTTTTGTTATGTAATTTCTACTAAATTTATTTACTGAGGTCACTTGTTTTGACTTTGGCATATTGTGCATCCATTATACCAATGTTAAATTTTATGTCTCCCTCATCTAATTTTCATGATTTAAACAAATCTTCTATAATTTTGCTTTTACATGTTCATATCCCAATGATGAACTATTTAGTAATCTAAATTTTTGTATGGAACTTGTAAAATTTGGTGCTCTCTTTTGCAAGCTCATTGCTGAGGTTGAGGAACCATGAGTTCATGCTAGGTAGATAATAGACATTTTGAGGGATACGCTGTTATTTGATTTTTTTAATAAATAAGTTGTTGCCATGGAGACCTGGGCTTCAATCCCGTCAGCCGATGTGTTTTTGACACAACTTCATTAGAAATCAATATAAGCTTGATGATTTATTTGATGGTGACGATCCTCCTCGAGAAATGGATCAGTTGCGTAATACTATTGCTGATCGAATCTGGAATTCTCTTGGGCACTCTTGATCTTTCTGAAACTGATGGTATGTTTTTTCTTTTATATGTAATATATTTGTTGCTATTATTGTTAATATTTTTCAACTTAAATTTTACCATTACAGATGTGAAGTGTGTTGATACTTTCTTGAAGGTGATGTGTGCTGTTATGAAGATGACGTGTCCTACTATTGAAGCTTGTTCCATGGAAGTGAAATTTGTGTTTTTTGAAGTATGTCTCCTGTAAGGAAAACATAAGGAAACATCTTTTTATTTGTAAGCATCTTTTTTTTTCGTTTTTGAATCCTATTGTTGAAATTTGTAAATAATGAAGTGAATTGTGTTTGAACTTTGAATTATATCTCCTATTTAATTTAATATACTGTTTAATTTGTTCTGAATTTCTTTGTCATTTTTCCTAATATAGAAGAATGAGTATGATTTGAGAAGCTTCCTTGCAAGCTTCCATTCTAGCAGGGTGCTTCTTTTTTTATTTATTTATTTTATGATTCCTTGATAGATGTTTTGTGAAGTTTGACTCTAAATAGATGGATTATAAATGAAAAAGGTGATCTTAATATCTAGATCATAAGAATACAGTAAAAAAAATAAAACTCTACATGTCATCAAGACTCAAGTTGATGCCAAAACATTGGTCTCGCTGAAGCAACACTTCTGTAATTACACTTTGGTTATATATGTGTGTGTGTGTGTGTGGTTGTGTATTCAAATTTCAATATATTTATTAAAAATATATAGACTATTTATATAGAAATAAATTTATAAATATATTTAAAATTTATAAAAATA